CCTCGGGAAGCCACTTTTGTGTCTTAGGGATGATGTACATCTCTAGAGACCATGTTTAGTTTAGCTTCTATATTTTGGATCCGTTTTGGGTCATCACAGGACACACCGGGGTTGTAAAATTCAGGGTTGTCACATGCACGCAATCGTAATATACATATTAAGACGCGCTACAATGGCCCATGGTCCCCAAATACGCCCAATGCAAAATATGACATGTCAAACCTTCGAAATCCATAAAATTACCTTTAAAAGTAAATTTCAAAACTAAGTGCATACATGTAATTCCAAAAGATGTGTAGCCCTTAGCCACATATCATACATATAAAATAAATGCCAAAAAGTGTACTTAGGTACACAATACAAATTTCAAAGTAAAAATGACATATTAAACCAAAAGAAAGCTACATGCTAACACTTGCATGTTTTCAAAAATACGTCAAAATACTCCAAGGAAACCAAGGCAACCTAGGGATGTTGTGCATCCCAAAACAAGGTTTCTTTACCTGAAAAATATCCCAAACAATTAGGATGATTAAACAAGGTACTCATAAGAAGAAGTACATGCGTATACCCTATAGTTTCAAATATCTTGTAAACTCAATATAAACCAATACAATGGTTCATTCCTCCTAGCGTCTATGTTACAAGGAGAACTAAGGGATCATCTCAAGCTACACAAGTATTTGAAATGATAAATACAAGACGTATAAGTATACAAGCATAATTATACTAAACGAAATTGAAACATACATGGAACAAGTATACATAGCATGAGTATACTAAGTGTAATTGAAAAACACAAGAAGCAAGTATACAAGACTCAAGTATACTAAATGAAATTGAAAACGTAAGAAGAAAATATAAAAGGCTCAACTATACTAAATGAAATTGAAAACGCAACCACCAAATCACAAGCTACAAATAATCAATGATTAACAACTTAGAATTGAATGCGAAATCAAGTAGTTGGAAAGACTAGAACATGTGGTCTCTAGACCAAACAAGTTATTCCAAGTAATTACGACCCACAAGGTACTACTTAGTGCACACTAATGTCGTAGGGAGAAATTCTATCTCTCGTACTAGAGCCGAACCCTAGCCATGACATTTTTCAGTCCTTACAAGCTTTCCAAAATCAATAAGTTCATGATATATACATAATAACAATGCATGAAACTACCTACTAAGCACAAGTAGGGTGAAACCACATAAACTATGTCCTAATGTTTCATGTCTACAACGGCATACACCATGTCGAATCTTCAATGAGCGATTTGTTACATATACAATGGTATATAATATGTCGAATCTTCAATGTGCGATACGTTACACGCTAAGATTATAGTATAAAGCAACTAAATCAAGCTACCATTTGCAAGCTACAATTACTAAGCATATAACAACCTAGAAATAAGCTCTCAAGGTAAACATAATTAATATCCTACAAGAATTTATCATCTCAACAAGACAAATCTCTAAGAATTAACAAGTTCTTGAATCAAATAACCTTTGTACACAATATTTATAAGCTACAAATACTTTAAATTTCTAAATATTAATTAAATCAAGTTATTATCATGCGAGCTACAGTTACTAAATATATCAAAATCTAGTAATAAGCCTTCTAAGTAGACATTATTAATATTATTCAAGATTTCATCATCATAACAACAAAATCTCTAGAATTTAGGAATCTAGTAAATGAGACAATTTACTTACACAAGAAATACATATTATACATGCTTTTAATTGTAAAACCCTAAATCAAGCATATAATTTCTACCTTTATATACAATACAACAATTCTATAAGCATATAATCAATGTATATTAAGCCCCAAATATATTTAAACCACAAAGGAAATAAATATACAGCCACCGCTACCTCAATAGAGAATAGAATCTCTATAATCCAAGGAAAACGAGCTTAAAAACTAAAAACCGTACAAAGGTGTTATAGAGGATGATGAGGGGAAACTTTTATCTTCCAAGACCTAAGACCAAAGATCAATGGAAGGAGCTCAAAAATCACAAATGGAGGCTAGGTAAAAGGTTCCAACAATGGTGGCTTGAGAGGAAAGAGATGAAGGCTTAGTAAAAATCATGTATTCCTCCACTCACAAAGTCTTTGTTGGTAAAAAACATACACTCAAACACCACCTCTTTCACACACACACACTAAAAGCAAAGCCAACACTACCTCTATAACACACACACTTTAGGATATTACATCAAAGTCCCTCTTCTAAGATATTTAAAAATATATTTTGTAGAAAGGTCCCTTCTCAAAATATCTCACAAATTAAATTGCAAAATGGTCCCTAAGATGAAAAATAATTATGAAAAGATAATTACACAATTACCCCACAAAGCAAAGATGTTTCCAAAAAAACGATGCATCCATGCCCTTTACGGAAAAGTAAACAAGTAACATGCTTTTCTAAAAAAGTAAAACTATGCATTTCAAGGGAATCAAATGAAATGGATGCATGCAAAGTGAGGTTACACGAAAGAAAACAATAAACGGGAAAATGACAAAAAAAAAAAAAGAAAAATGCCCAAAAAGGCGTGAAGATGACACGGTCCTCACAAGGACACTACAACATCTAGAAGGAGTAGTGTCGGAAACTATTTCCGAGCACTTAACAAGACTCGAAGGAACAAAACCCGAACTCAAAAAGAAATATCAACGGAAAAAGAAAATTTGTAAAAACAGGAAAAAAGGAAAGGAAGGAAAATGATCGGGTTATTACACGAGCTACAGGTGCACAATCCCACATCGCCTGGGTGTGGATGGGGCAAATGCTATATGTAGATTCAACACCCTTCTATGACACAATGCGTTTTAAAGCCGTGATAGCTGTGAACCTATCAGAACTCCGGAGTTAAGCGTGCTTAATCTAGATAAGTACCAGGATGGGTGACCCCCTGGGAAGTCTCTAATCCGAGTGAGCTAAAAAGAGAAAATATTGTGTCTGGATAGGGTGAGGGTTGTTACAAATGGTATCAAAGCCTGACCCAGCCGGAAGTGTGGCCAACTAGGACGTTGGGCCCCAAAGGGGGGTGATTGTGGCAACCTTGTGGGCGGGTGCGGGCACTAGCAGGCTACCACACTAGACGAACTACGGGTGCATAATCCCACATCGCTTGGGTAAGGAAAAAGTGAAGTGCTTATATGTGATTGTGTTATCTCCAATTGGTACGAGTCCTTTTAGGGTAAAGCCCAAGAGTAAAATCGTGAGGGTTCAGACTCAAAGCAGACAATATCATACCATGTGGTGGAGTGGGTCGTTACAAAAGCTCCATTTAATTCCAATGAGCTCTAAACAAACTACGATCAAAATTTAGTGACCAAACCGAATGGTTTCAGCATCCCAACCCATGGAGTTATAACGAACAAACCAGTGAAGGGGTACAACAATCCAACTGGGTAGAAGCATTGAAAACCCATTTTGAGAGTTCCTTATTGTATACTGTAATTTATTCAGTAAAGGTTTTACATTACTATAGTTAATGTTTTACTTTGCTTAAGTATAAGTTTTACATTAGTTAATAAAAATTTTACATTATTCAGTAAAAGTTTTACGTATAATAAACATTTTACATGAGTGCGGTGAATGAGCTCCATTGATTCTGATGAGTTCCATGCTAACAATGACCAAGAAGCGACAAAGACCAAATTGGTGAAGCTACATAGACCCAGTAGTGACCTTCACACCGACGAAGACAGACCCAACAGTGAACTTCATTAATTCCGATGAGTTTCAACCATCAAAGTTCCATTGATTTTGTCGAGCTTTGAGCAAACAACGACTAAACTTTAGTGACCGAACCGAATAGTTTCAGCATCCCAACTCGTGGAGTTACAATAAATAAACCGGCGAAGTGGTATAGTCATCCAATCGGATAACTCCATTGAAGACCCATTTTGAGAGTTGCTTGCTGTATATTTTACATTATTCAGTAAAGATTTTACATTATTGTAACGTTTTACTTTGTTTAAGTACAAGTTTTGCATTATTCGGCGAAGACAAACCCAACAGCAAGCTTTATTAATTTCGGTGAGCGACGGACAATGAGAGTAATGGTGTGCCCTAGGTCTGAGGAGAGAAAGAGAACAATGACAGAAGAGTAATAGATTGGCAAAGTAGATATATGGATGGAAAACTAACAGGTCAGTGGTCTGGCGGTACCAAGCTCCTACTTCTCAAAGAAAGGTCAGAGGTTCGAGCCTCAGTGGAGACATGTGTGTGTAAGTACCGACTAGGAAAAAAGATATATGGATGGAAAGATAATAAGGATTATTTAGTAAATTACAGAAGTAACTTATAGATCATTTGGTCTCCATGTATTGCAAATTGACATATTCTTAATTACTAACGCTCTTTCAGATTTTCGATTCAGAAACAGTGATTACAATCTCCGGGACACCTGAACAAACCTGTGCTGCGCAGAGCTTATTCAAGCATTTGTAATTAGTGAGACAGAAGCCCCCTTTGACCTTTTTTACTTATGAACTTCTAATCTTGGCATTTGTATAACTGAATGCATACATATGATTTGAAAGGATAACTTGACTGGAAAAAACAAAATTCCAAAAAATTACATTAATATATTTAATGTTTACTATATAAATTCTACATGAGAAGAAAGAATATTTCTTGATGATCGACATGATAGGCAGTTGGATTTTGTGACAAACTTAAAGAATTTGATTATGTTGTTGTACAAAATTCTTTGTTATAGGATGATTTGATTGAACCAACTTGGTTAATTGAGCTTAATTCCATGAAGATCATTAACATACAATTTTCATTTTATTAGATAAATCATACCATATAATAATTCTTAGAGATAATTATGGAAAGGAAGTCCTGAAAATTTATAATATTCCTAATTATGTCATGTTTTGACAAGTGAAATTCACAATTATTTAAATACAGAGTAACACTCATTGATGATAAAAAATTTTGGTTTACCATACAACAGAATTAGCATATATAAAGAAGAAATACACTACCATTTGGATTCAGAATCCATTATATCGATCGATGAATCAATTGCAGATATATCACAAGTCACAACTTACAATTTCAACCATGTTCTTGATAATTTCAAATTCAGGTAATGTCTCCTCAAGTGCCTTTCAGCATTTTGGTGCATGATTAAAACATTTGGAACTATAAAATACATCCAGACTCCACTTGAATATTCATACTAAGAATATTGCTGGTGGGTTTGAAAGCGTGAAATTGAAGCCTTAGAATTGAAACCGAAGACCATATTATATTAGTTCAAACTTTAAACTAATTATTTTCCAGTTTCAATTTCAAGGCACGAATTTCATCCAACCAAACGCTTGACTTACATGTTCAACAAGATGTATTGTGAACTTATTGATTCTTGAAGGGATGGTATTCCTTGAGATTCTTAGCAAGCCCCTGTATTGAACCAGCAGAAGCAACAATCGACACAACCAGACAAGCCCAGCTCAGTATTTTCATCCATGTCCAAGTGAAAGAAAACTTAGGTATTTTCGCCTGCGCAATGTATATTTCTATGGGGAAGTACACTGTCAATGGATAGAATGAGAGCGCTCCGATCAAGCCCACAAAGTGATTGAAGAATGGGAATATCATGGCCACCACAGCTGTTACTATCACATAGCATGATCTCCACACCAGCCTGAAGAAATTCACATGGTAAACTCCATAAAATGGAATGCTCACATTGTGATCGACTGTTATGAAGTCGCTCTCTGGCCAACGCTTCTTGCTCTGTGACTCTACAAACCCGAAGATGGGTTGGCAGAAAACCTGTGTACGTAGAAGAATGTTTAAGGATTTAAATATTAAAATTATACCATCTCTAACAGCTTAACATGATATTAATATTTTCTAACCACTTAAATTTTTAGAGTAGATAACTGTTAACAAAGAAGACGAAACTAGTAGTTTACATACCTGGTAAGCTCCAATAAGGTGGATAGCAATGCAAACATTGGCAAAGTCAATTAGCCAAAAGGGTTCATAAAAGCCAAAGCCTGTTAGGAAATTTCCCGGTGCATTGTTTCCGAATGCTGCGTAGCCGACGCAACCACACAGGAAATAGAACAGGGTTGTGGTTGAGACACCCAAAAATGAAGCTTTTTTCATCACTTTGTTCTCTGGAGGATGTGATCTCAGTGTGTCCTGCAATACATGAGGTTCCACACATTCAACATACATATATATATATATATACACACACACACACACACATATATGTACATATAGGTGCAAAAACCTATCAACATCTTCATTGATAGACTTGTTAACCTTGTTTATAACCACATCTTCCATGTAAGTTGAGATATGAGGCAAGGTCCATAGACAAGACTTTTTTTCCTTTTATTTTCACTGTGTTTAACATCAATGTAATATAATATTTATTAGTTCCTGCTTAATTTTCCCTCCGTCATTCTTAGTTTCTTTTTCTTTAATTTCTTTTAAAATATTGTTTACGTATAATAAACACAAAAAAAAAAAAATTCGTGTGGTCTAGCAAAACTCAGTGAAGATTAGGCATAAGGTTTCAGTGTTTCACTATGCGAAAAATATAAAATTACAAGTTCAGCTCCAAACTCTATAACTCTCTCACTCTAGTTGCCCTTATATACTGTAGTATAAAAATATTTTAAACTGAATTTACAACCCGAAAAGAGAATAACGGGTCAGAAAAATTTTCCGAAAACACTGCCCTGGACCCATGACTTTGATGGACCTGGGCTCACACAAAGTCCACGGTTGCAACCAAAACAAAATTTGGAGCACAACAATCATAGATTAAATAATTGAGTCCATATCAACAAATCTATCAAGGCCTCTTTTTCTGTGCACTTCCCCTTAAAAGGAAGAGTTCACATTAGTTTTCTAAAGGTCAGCTTTTTTTTTTTTGTTTTTTTGTTTTTCTTTTTTTGTTGGTTCCGTGTGAGGGAGATAGGTGTTCCCACTCCTTTCTAAAAGAAAAGAGGGGCTGTGGGCCTCGCTACAATGGTTTTTCCGCCTCTTATCTTAATCTTTTAGATATGAGCCATAATTAAATGCGTTATGACTAGTGATAGATTGGAAGTTTGTCATTTCTCAAAAGTATAAATTATTAAATAAAGTTATCTATCCGTTCTTATAAGCCCTGCATCCTCTTCATTCAAATTCGTTACGTGACAGCCTCTAACACTAAGTCATGTTAAAAGTTGAAAGGGGAACACAATCTATATTAACTAGAAGGTCCACACCCTTGTGCCAAGGGCTATTGGTAAACTATCCGTTCTTAAGTCCTGCATCCTCTTCATTCAAATTCGTTACGTGACAAACCTCTAGCACTAAGTCATGTTAAGAGTTGAAAGGAGAACACAATCTATATTAACTAGAAGGTCCACACCCTTGTGCCAAGGGCTATTTGTAAAGGTGCTCGTGTCACATTTGCTCCGGTGGATATATAACACTATCAAATAACTTATGTTTTTTAATATAAAGACAAGCATTAAACCAATTACAAATATCATTAAGCCCAAATTTTGCCCGAAAAGGAGCCAGAATTAAACATAAACAAGTAGTCATACAGGGGCGGAGCCAGGAATTTAGTTCGGGGGGGGCATGTTAACATTGACAAAATAATTTTTTTTCAACCATACCGAAAACATAATAGTGTAACAACAATGCATTAGAATAAGTGAATAAAAAATGAATAAGAAGATAAAAAAAGAAAAAGAAGAGTTATTGCACATAAATTATGCATGAGTGCAAGAAAAAATAAATTTTTAAGAAAAAAAATGATTTTTTTAAGAAGAAAATGAAATAAAAAGAAAAAAATATGAGAGAATTTTGAAGGAAAAAATAGATTTTAATTGTAAAAAGAGAATGCAAAAGTTTTTAAAGATGATAAAAAGAAATTTGAAGAGTAAGAAGGAAAAGGAATAAAGAATTAAAGACCTTTTTAGAAATATATAATTTTATGGGGATAACTTATAAATTTTATGAGGGTATTTTATAAATATTTACAAATTATACGCATAAAATAAAATAAAATTTAGTAGATTCAGAGGCAAAGGGACCATTTTAATAATTTTGAGGGGGCATTTTATCAATTTTTATAAATATATGTATAAATAAAATAAAATAAAAATTATAACGAGGCAGCAAGGCAGGGGGCAGTTGCCCCCCTGGGCACATACTGCATCCGCCACTATAGTCATATATATGGTTTAATCTCTCGTCACTAAAGAAAGATGTTGTTTAATATAATTCAAAATTAAGTATTGAAAATTTTAATGACTTAAATTTTAAGTACGAAAGTTTTTAAATAATAATTTAAAAATAAATATATCTTTCAAAAAAAATTAACTATTAACATTCAACATTTAGTAATAATTGATGTGTCACTCAAAATTAAATATTTAATTTATTCAAAATTAAATGCTGAATTACGTTATCGTGGAAATTAGTCGGTGAATGGCCCTACAAATATCAATCTAAGTAAAGGTGTGCCTAAAGAAGACGTGACGACATTGGTACCATGGTTTTAGATAACGCAGAAAAGAAAAGATGATGAGGTAAAAGAAAAAGTAAGAAAAACAAAGACGAAAAAAAAGGTGGGCTTTCACTTCATTTGAAAAGGGTCACACGTTCAATGGCCTAAAATCTTCTATTCATGTGGTCCGTCAGTTAAATGGTCCACAAGGAATCATTTGTTACACAGCCCTGTACAGTAGTAAACCCACCTATACCAAACCTTATTTTTCTAGCCCCAAACCCCATGCTCAAGTCACTGTCGGTCGGTGGTGTCACGTGGCAACATTTTTGTCCCATTTGGTTTATATTAATCAGATGGCTCATTTTTAATATCATCATTTATTCTTTTCGAGCTCCAATATTTTGAATTCAATTTTTACAAAATATAAAAATATTTAAATTTAAAATCATGTGTGACTAAGAGTAATTGTACATATATATTTGTAAATTATTTGAAAGTCCAAAATGACTAATAGGAGAGTTGATTTTTCATTATAAAATTAAAATAAATAAATAATAATAATGATAATTTTATATCAAATTTTATCTCAATCGTAGTATCTTTCACTAATCATAACAAGATTGAAAATAAATTGTCAACTATACTACAGTACAAAGTAAAAAAAAAAAAAAACAAGGGAATGTTGCTTCAGGTAAATGACAATTTACCAGCTTTTTTGGAGTGGGTGGGATATCAATGTCCGGAAAATTACCTATAATTTGACTTTTCCATTTTTTTTTTTTTTTTTTTTTGGCAATATTTTTCCATTCTAAAGGTTCAATAAAAAATAATGTTTTTTATGCCTGTTTCCAAATATATTTTAAACCTCTCAATCTTGTAGGAGTAATTTTTTTAACTTAAATTTATTAAATTAATATTTTGTTTAACAATTAAAACTTTGAATACATAAATTTTGAATGTTAAAAAATTAGTATATTTTCTGAAAATAAGAGAATATTTCAAATATTTTTCGAATAAAAATAAGTAATATTTTAGAGAATAGATCAAAACTTTTTAGAAAAAATTAAAATTAAGTATACATATGCAATTAATAATATATATATATATATAATCACAAATTATAAAGGTTATAGGTGAGAGATTTAGAATCATTAAAAAATTATTTATATAAAATAGGATGTAATAGTGATGGGACTTCTCGGTTATTAGCTGTAAGGGACAGGTGGAACTTAATAAACGGCTACTTGAGAATGATGGAATTAAACAAGTTGAAAACTTTACAGAGAAAATTTTGTGGCTGAATTATTATATGTACCGTGTGTATGTATTAATGGATTGGATGCATTGGAGGAGACAGTAGGGACTTCGCATGTATGCATGCATGCATGCTGCCTACACTGTGTATGTATGTGTGTGTGTATATATATATATACATATATATTATGTTGTATATCTGATTTTGGTTTAATCCTTTCGTTACACTTGATTTACAGCGATATTCATCTTGAGTCCATTAACGCGGACAATTTTGCGACAGCGAATCACTGTATATAGCTAATATATATATATATACACACACACACACAAACCGTTTGGAAATGGAGATGGTAAGACTTTTGAGGTACTGGTAGTTGGTTACAATAGAATCAAAGATGAGTTGAGAGTTTAAATGATGCACATAATTTGTGGAGAATTACCTAATTTAGAATTCGAAATCAAAAAGTATTTAGGTGGATTGATTCTTCATTACCAAAATATATATACACATGTTTATATTCAGAAATGACACACGAGGATAACAGTTGAATTTGACTGTAATTTTTTTTTTTTTATATATAATTTTCCTTTTTATACTTAAATCATACCTAAGAAAAATCAGGTACGGAGAAAATTTCATAATTAAGAGATCATTATTATGTTCATTTTGAGTGTGTGTGTGTGTGTGTAAGATGAGGAGATTGGCTTGCCTGTATTTCGATGAGGACGTTGGTGTAAGCGTACGCAAAGGCGATATCACCAACGGCTTGGAATGTTCTCCAAACCTTCTCTGATCCAGTCACGTCCACCCCAATAGTCACGCCTGTTAGGCTTGTCCGTACATGTCCACCTCCTAATTATAATTTCACAATCACAAGTAATTAAAGCAGTGAATTAAACCAAAGCTATTCAATTATGCATGAGAGCTCAATTGGCTTGTCGTCTATTTATATAATATATATATATATATATACACACACACAAACACAAAGACATACATACCTGCAACTTTAGCTATGGAAAGTCCAATGCCTATGGAAGAATAAGCAAAAGACATCACAGCAGCAACTATAGAGAGCCATGAGAGCTTGTGAAAATTTGGTATTTGACTCAGAACGATCTGAATGGCGGCAAAGATGATCATGAAGGGATAGTTTGATATTGAGCATTTAACATGATGCCCGTGTTTGTGAAAGCAATTTGACCTTTTAACGGCCCTGATCATCAACAGAAATAAAAATTTTAAAATTTGAGAATTTATAATAATTGATAGTCTTTAATTATATATTATTATTGTATTATATATGAATTACAAGTCAATGGTTTGGAAGACTCAAACATATAGATTTAAAGTAGGTCTATTTTTGGTTGATGCTTACACCATACTGATAGAAGCAGTTATTGTGTATCCAATAGTAACCCCAATGAGATTAGTATACTGAGCTAGTCCACATAGTTGGACCTTCATTCCTCCTGAAAAATACAAAACGCCAAAAACCCATTAATTTTTAACATTTCTAAAACTACCCATTTATGATTTTCATAAAATTAATTGCAGTAATTAAAGATCCATAGGGAAGTGGGTTTTTATTAAAAAAAAAAAGGTCAAGTGCATTAAACCCCCCTAAACTATTGGGATATGTGCAAGAAACCCCCTGAATTATAAAAATTGTAAAAAAAAACCCCCTGAACTATTGGAGTATGTGCAAGAAACCCCCCTGAATTATAAAAGTTACAAAAAACCCCTCTGAACTATTGGGGTATGTGCAAAAAACCCCCTGAACTATATATTTTTTTGCAATTTACCCCATCTAAGCGAATTGATTGACTAAAACGGACGATGAAGCAGAGGAATTTGTTGTTGGGATCGGTGGGTCTCCTGTCATAGCTCCATCATAGCCGTTGCACCACTAGCCAGATCCATCGGCCATATATATCGCACTTCTCTACACCGTTGCGTCAACCCATCGCCGTCACCGCCTTGCCCGCCATTCAGCTTACCTTGCTCGCCGGTCCATTCCACCGTCCATTCCAATCTCGCCGGCCCATTCCGTCATCTCCATAGCTGAGCACATCACCGTCCGTGTTTCGAGCACACAGCCATCCATAGTTCACCGCCGAGCCCCTTGAGCTCACCGCCGCCTTCACAGTTCACGGCCAAGTCAATCGAGCTCTCATCACAGCCGAATCCTCCGCGCACAAGCCACCATCATCCGAGACCGAGCCATCCCGCCAACCTCGGATTTCTTTGGTCTCCTCTCTCTCTCTCTCTAGCTCTCAGTTTTGGGTTGTGTTGGGTGAAAGGCATCTTTTGGCAGAAAAAAAAAAGTAAGAAGTATATAAGTTAAAACGACGCAGTATACATGTTATAAGGGTAAACTGGTTTTTCAAAATTTTCTGTACCGGAAGCTGATGTCATGGGGTTAAATTACAACAAAATCATAGTTCAGGGGGATAAATTGCAACAAAATCATAGTTCAGGGAGGTTTTTTGTAGTTCAGGGGGGTTTCTTGCAAATGACCAATAGTTTAAGGGGATAAATTGCAACAAAATCATAGTTCAAGGAGATTTTTTATAGTTCAGGAGGATTTCTTGCAAATGACCAATAGTTCAGAGAGATTAATGCACTTTACCCTTAAAAAAATAATCACAAAAAATCATAAATTAAAAAAAGAACACAAACCATCCACACACACATAGTTTGAGTAATGTTAGGATTGTCACATCAGTTAGGTTATACAAACCAACAGGGACTTTTATCATTTTTTATATAGTTTAGGTAAGTAATTTATAATTTTACCTAAGTGGGCTCTCACAACATCCATGTAAGTGTAGTTTCTCTTGCCGGTGACAGGGTCTGGAGATCTGTAACAATCAGCAAGTAGGGTTGAAGTGAAGTAGGTGATGAAAGAGAAAGCCATGAGAACTGCTGGCCCAGCCACCCAACCTAGCTGAGCTATTGCCCATGCTAGAGAAAGCACTCCAGAACCAATCACAGCAGTTATGATATGAGCACTTGCAGTCAATAAAGTTCCTTCAAACCAAAAAAACAAATTCATACAGAGACAGATTAATATGAAATAGATATCAAACACAATTAATTAATATATATGCATATATATAACTTCTATATATCTGTTATTAGATAGTACCAGTTCTTTTAACACGACCATCATCGTCGAAGTTCTTGCGAACATCGCCATTTTCATAGGTCCCTGGACCTTGTTCTAGGTACATGCTGTTCTTCTGCAACTCACCAGCCATTTCTCTCTCTCTCTCTCTCTCTCTCTCTCTCTCTCTATGACTCTCTATGACTCTCTATGGGAGCAGTATGAGGATGTTTTAAGGTGTAAAAAGGAGGGAGAGGCCTAAGGGCCAAAAAGTAGTGATGATGAATAAAAATGGTGGTTTAGTATGTATTGAAGTCAGAGAAGATATGCAATTAACATAGGTGTATCTGAACTTAAATAGAATACTATATACTAGCAAAAAGTGGGAAACAACTTGGCTATGATGATAATAGAGGGTTGGTGTGGCTAGGTTAGGTCTGAAACATTTACAGGGTTTTGTACCATTGATGGTGGTGTTTAAGTGGTACCATGACTTTTGGGTTTGGTCCAAACCATTGAAAGTGAAACATTTATGGTAACCATTAATTGGAATTTGAAATTTAGCAAAAAAATGAGGGGTCGGTTGACTCTGGTCTTCCAAAAGTCAGTGTTTCTCGAGGACGGCTGGCTTTTTGGACTTGGCCGGATAGACCTAGAAATCTTTGTCACCTTTCACAGATTCACCACAACTTGGTTGGGTCCAATCAGAAACATTGATGGATAAAGGTGGGTAACAAAATCAGTTTGATAACTTTATTTTGATATTTCATATTTCAAAACATTTAAAAACTACTTGCAATTTTCTTCGCGATTCCCACGACTCGAAAATAAAGTTTTGATTTTTAGTTTTGGTTTTCAGTTATTTATCATTTTATTATTTTTTACGAGTAGAGAAGTGTTATTTTATTATTTTTCAATTATGCTCCACTAGTAAATAAAATTATAAAAATATTTTACTATATTTGAATAGTAAAATTAAAAATGTTATTTTATTATTTTTCAATTATACTCAAATATTAAATATTTTATTATCTTTTAGTTATACTCAAATAATAAATAAAAGAGTCAATTTTTTAAAAAACAAAAACCACCAACCATATTTTCTACTTTCTCTTTTAAAAAATTCAACAACAAATGTTCGTTATCAAACTATTTTTGTTTTTAACAAAAATGACAACACAATTTTTCAAAAAATTTTATTTTCAAAAAAAAAAAATAAAAAAAATAAAAAACATATTAGACAAGGTAAGTGTACCAGGATACTTTTTTTTTTTTTTATCTTTGGTAAGTTACAGGGTTAGGCACCTAAAAAGATTTTTAAATTTTAGTTTTACAAAAGTGTACTGCCAAAACAAAACCTGTTGCATATATATTCTGCAATCCGTTCCTGTACTTGTTTTTCGAAATTCACTTTTAAAAGATTGAAACTGCCAAAGCGGAACTGGTCATGCTTTCTATAACGGGTCCAATTCCCCTGGAACCAAATTGAAAATTCCTTTCCTACTCATAATTATGTTACCATTTTATTAGATTATTGTGAGACAATTATGCACCAATTATACTTGTTTGTCAAGTTATTTTAGGTCTTCAAATTTCTATATAAACACCTATTCTCACCTAAGTTTTCTAAGGATTTTGGAATAAAATTTCTACAACTTTGAAAGAGCCCATTTGTGAGAATTTTCTGATTGTTTATTTCTTATAATTGAGAACATACATGCTATACACAAGAGTGATTTAATTAAGATGTTGTTATCTATATAATCGGAGTCTGAATAATTAAAGATTCATTGATACCAATCAGAAATGGCAGAGCTTCTATTTATTTTCAACATACATCATATTTTAAGAAAATGAGGGAGTGATCACACTTTGAAGTAGTCAAAGCATTTGCAAAGTGTTATTTAATCTACCAGCAATCCTTTTATGGGAATCAAGAGAGTTAGTCTGAAGTCAAGGACCATTGGACGGGGCATCACAAAGCCAAAGTAAATTAACAATTGGTTCTTGGTAGAGCGATATGGTGAGCTTGAGTTGAAGTCCATTACACTTTGCTTCAAATATAGTGGATTGTTTCGCTTGAGACCGCATGAGTTTCCGAAGTTTTTTCGATTGTTAGATGATTTCTCTAACTAGGTTTTCTCGCTAAATACCTAGTGTCACTCTTTCCCTACTTCACTTTACTTGCATTTATTTTTATTTTGTGGGATGATTAATTTACTTTCAAATCTGTAAATTTAATTTAAGAGAAATTTTGGGTTACACTTATTCACCCCACTATAAGTGTTGAGTATGGATATGTTAATGTTTTTTTGATCTCTACCTTTAATGTTTGTCGTAAGGATGGTACTCATTGCCCTGGCCCATCTAGGTATTACCAGTGGTTCTTGACATGCCTGGTTTTTGCTTCATACCTAACATATAGGCATAATGCTCTCAATCACCTAAAAGGTCATATCCTCTTATCGGTCCGTCTCCTTGTGCGACGCGATGTACCAACTATTCTATCTTGAGCATTAATGCATTTGACTTCATGAGAACGACATTAGCTGGGTCATTAATGACTCTGTCAAAGCATTAATGGTGATGGTAATGCTCTCTATGTCACAGGACACATGACCATCTCATTGCCAAACCCCTTAATTTGTTCATGCTGGGCATGTTCTGACTTTTCACCCACCAATCCAAGATCCTTTAAAATATTTCCATAATATAATTACATACATACAAGAATGCCCTAACCTTGTCTCATTTTTTGTTTGGCAACTTTGAGCCAAGGTTTAGGCAAGCTCAAGGTTTGACAATCAGATTGTTATTCGAATCATATTTAAACCTCGAGGGATTGATTCTCGAGGTTTTATGACCTAATGAGATGTTAGGTTTTAATTAATTACTCGAGGATTGACTTCTTGAAGCTTGGTGACATGGTGAAGTGCAAGGGTTTGATGACTCGATAATTCGCTTCTCAAGGTTTGATGACTTGGTTAGGTGCCAGGATTTGATGCATGGCTCGAGAGTTGGCCTCTGGAGGTTTGGTGACCTAGTGAGATGTCAGGGTTTGATGACTCGAGGGCTAACTTCTTGAGGTTTAATAACCAAGTGAGATGCCAGGGTTTGATGTGCAAGGGTTGGGCTCTTTAAAGTTTGATGACTTGGTGAGGTGTCAATGTTTGATAACTTGAGAGTTTTCTCCACAAAGTTTAATGACTTGAGATGCTAGGGTTTTGTTCATTTTTAGTTAAATGCCACGGGCAATAGCCCAAGCTCGCTTGACTTTTCAATGTGCAATGTGAGAATCCAAACTTGTTTGACTTTTTAATATGCTACGTGAAATTGTGTAATATGACACCTTATGAAAATAGTTTGAATAAATTACACAAAAAAATAAAAATAAATAAATAAATAAACCTTCTTTATATTTAAATATAGTGCATATAACATCCTGTGAGAGAGAGAAAAAAATAATAAAAATAAATAAATAAAACCCCACCACACCTCTAGTACGAAAATAGTGTAAATGAGGACTTGCTCTTACTCTGCCATATAGGGAGGAGTAAATTGATATAAATATCTTTATGTAATTTGAGCAAAAAAAAAAAAAAAAATACCCCTCTATTATGCATATACTCCTCGCTTTGCTTTTATTTATTTTTTATTCTAAATACAAATACTATTTAGTTTTCTTTGTTTTTTTCCCTATTACTTCTTTGTTTTTTTTCCTTCTTCTACTTTTTAAACTTTTTTTCTTTTTTAAATATTGTATCCCTAAATTTAAATTCCGACTCCGCCCTGCACATATACACAGTATGTTTGTATTAAGTCTCTTTGATTTTTGAATGGATGTTAATTCTTGCTCTGAAAAATACTGTAAAATATATACATTGTATGTTTGTTAATTTCTACATAGTACTGTATATGTTTGAGACTTCGTGGTCATTTGATATTTAAAAAATTAATATAAATATAATGGGTGTCGGCTATACCTCTTCCCACCATCATGAGCAATAATAAACGTGATTTGTTTTGTATACAACAACCATCATTAATTGTCATATTGATGGTTGTTAAAGAGTCTCAAAAAATCAAAAGAGTCATCTTCAGCCCACCAAGTGTAATTAAATGAAGAGGTGAAGACATTCTCTTATTGATTTAATATGTCAGTACTCACGAGCCGCACATTATGATCCATACTATTCTTGGAGTGGGTTGTTGTGAGGAATCCGGGATCCCCTCCTCTGTGGGAGGGTTCTGTTTTTTATTGTATAAATAATGAAAAATAATGATTGTACCACGTTCTTATATAAGCGGTGTAAAGTGGCACAACAGGGATTTTGGACCGCTTGGATTTATGCGGCCTAAGAGCATCTTCAATGGCATTATCACATGAGCTGTTAATTTAAAATATGAGAGGTGGGTTAAAATTGAATTCTCCATTGAGCTGTTATATTAATTATCAAAATTTAACTTATGTCATTTTTTGTACTAAATCTAACAAAACAAATAGCAATAGTTATTTTTATATTTTGTGCCAAATCTAACAAAAATATATGAGTTTTGAACTTTTGATTACAAAATAAGAATTACAGACCTTGATATATAATTATCAAAATTTAACTTATGTCATTTTTTGTATCAAATCTAACAAAACAAATAGCAATAGCTATTTTTATATTTTGTGCCAAATCTAACAAAAATATATGGGTTTTGAACTTTTGATTACAAAACAAGAATTACAGACCTTGATATATATATATATATATATATATATATATATATATATATATACACAAAATCAAGAATTACAGACCTCGATTAGTTGATTTAGAAAAAAAATTAAAACAAAACTCATGCATACAAGTTAGCAGTTGCAGAGAGAGAGAGGGGGGTAAGCTTGAAGTGGAGAGACAGCGGCTGAAGCTTGTGAACAGCGAACCCGAACTAGAATAGCAAGCGATGGAAACTGAAATATATGGGTTTTGATTTTTTGAACAATCTGAAATGATACGCCGATATGGGTTTTGATATGGGTAATAGGTTTTGAACTTTGGATTCTTGCAGACAGATAGATAAACTGAAATATATGAGTTTTGAACTTCTGATTCTTGTAAATTTTGTAGTTTACAGTTACAAAAAGAGAGAGAGAGAGAGGGGCAAGTTCTCAGACTTGAGAAGGAGAATAGAGATGGAGGTGATTGGGGAGGCTCAAATGATTTGCCCTAAATATATTCTATATTTTTTCCTAGGTCATGGGCCCATAAATTATATAGTTAAATATATATAAATTATATAGTTAATTATATAGGTCATGGGCCTCTCTTTTTTTTTTGGGGGGGGGGGGGGGGGGGAGGGTAAAAAAGAATGATGGTTGTGTTAAAAAATAGTATTTTGTATGAAATGCACTATCGGAGCAGAATTGGTAAAATATAACATTTTAACAATGTAACATCTGTCAAAATATAGATTTGGCATGTG